CGGCGGGCAAGAAGACGGAGGAGGAGAAGGAGCGCAACCAGGCGTGGTGCTTGCTCGGTAGGTACCGCTTAGATGTGGCTCTGCCACACCAAGACAGCATATCGGGGGGAGGAGCTGCAGACCCAGTCGGTGCCGCCATCCCAAGCTGCTACTTCTGTCGTCCTCCATCGATTCATTCGCCGTGAAGGAGGAGCTGCTCGAGTTCGACGACATCGACTAGGCCAAGCTTGCCGCCGAGAACTCGAAGCAGGAGGAGAAGACGCCCAGTACACCATAGCCGCGGCGACCGACGACGAGTTTCAACATGCCCAGCACACCCATGCCCCAATTTTAGTATAGTTTAGTTAAACTTCAAGTTTGGATGGAACTTGTTGAATTTTCATGTTATATATCTTACTAGTTTTAAATTCCGTCCATATTTTTTGTGTGAACTATTTGAAATGAGGGGAAGTTTGAGTGATATAGTTGTGGCGGGCATCTGGTTGGATGTCAAACATTTCCGTGGACATCTGGACGTGTCCGTTCGGTGAGTGCCATTGGAGATGCCCTTATATCCCAACCTTGGTCTTATGGTGGGCCCTCATGCCAAACATAAAACAAATGAGGAATTAAATGAACTCTTCTTTTTTAACACAGTACAACCACATATGCCCACATAAAAGCACATATCCTCACGCCTATGAACGCACTCACGTACACCCTACTCCTATAACCACCTTCGAGATACGAAGCCGACATCACATCTTGAGATTGACAAAGGTGCTACAGACGCCTCGTAGTCGATGGGATGTTTCCTTCCACTAAACAAACATCATCAAAAAGCTTGAAATAAATTCAGAAAAATGCGAGCACCAACGTCAAGTCTAGGACTTGAATCATGGTGGGTTGATTCCAACACAAGGAATCTAACCATGTGAGCTACGCTCATTTTGCAATGGACTCTCCTTTTAGTTCACACTAATTGACAGTATGCAATGTCGCAACACGTTTTGGTGGGAGTACAATGACGCCCTGTGGCTATATGTCACGTGCTTGCATAATATTTCAGTTGTTCGTTAGACATAACTATTAAAGCTCTTCACTTTTCTGAAGCTTTAGTCCTTTTTGTTCAATACTATCCCAGTTACTTTTCTGAAGTTTAATTTTTGAATTTGTAGTTGTATATATAGTTTAGTTTTGTATTCTGTTCTAAATGGCACCTCCTTTTTGAATATTTTGCATTTTTTGGTTAAACCATTTTATGCAATTGGCTTTTGTAATTGCTCTATAATGAAGGAAAAATGTGGATGGGAATTTTTAAGCAATGCTTCTCTTTTTCATTTAGGACAGTTTAACTGGTGACCTTTTCAGCCCCCTCACATTACTAGTGATATTGACCGTTAGATCACAAGTTTAGTGTTCCTGGCCGTTTGATCATCATTAAAGCAACTCTAGCAGACCCCGCATCCCGCCGGCCCGCAAAACTCGTTTGCAGTTCGCGCAAAACAGCTTTTGCGGGCCGGTGCAGGCTGGCACAGATGCAGACCCCCCCCCCCCAATGGATTCGTAAAAAAGTATATTCATGGAATATACTTTTTTACGGGTCGGCTATGCGGGTTCTGCTCTTTGCGCCGCTGCATCCCTGCATATCATCAGCCCGCAAATATCAAATCCAACATAATTCAACAATCAAAAACAAACTGAATTATTCAAATCAAACATAAAACAATAATCATCCGCATTATAAATAATTAATCAAATCACCGTAGCAAACTTAAATAATGCAATACAAAATTTGTCGTGAATACAAATACAAATGAATACAAAAATTAGTCACCGTCCAGCCCTTTGCCAATGATGCTCAATGAGATCTTCCTGAAGTTGAAAGTGTGTGTCTGCATTTTCAATCTCCTTGTATGTCTGAAGAAAAGCTCTAATGCGGTTTGGGTCTCTAGCTGGTTTTACGCGGCTACCCACATTGTCGTAAAAGAATTCTAAATTCATTTCTCTCTCATCTTCAAGAATCATATTGTGCAGGATAACACAGCAAGTCATGATGTTCCTCAGTGTTTTCTTATCCCAAAAACGAGCAGGACCACGGACAATGGAAAACCTAGATTGCAAAACACCGAATGCTCTTTTAATGTCTTTTCAGACTGCCTCTTGCACCCTTGCAAATTCACATTATTTTTTTGTTAGGGGTTCTTTGATGCTCTTGACAAATGTGCACCAAGGAGGGTATATACCATCTGCAAGATAGTACCCCTTTGTGTATTCATGCCCATTGATAGCGTAGTTGCAAGCAGGAGCATCACCACTAGCAAGCCTAGCAAACAAATGAGAGTGTTGCAACACATTGATATCATTGAGAGTGTCGGGCATACCAAAAAGGCAATGCCAAATCCATAAATCCTCGGATGCTACGGGCTCTAGCACAATTGTTGCATCACGAGACTTGCCACAGTACATTCCTTGCCAAGCCTTGGGGTAATTTTTCCAATTCCAATGCATACAATCAATGCTACCTAGCATGCCAGGCCAACCTCTCCTCTCATTAGCTGCCATCAATTTCTTTGTGTAATCTTCATTTGGTGCCCGGAGATACTCGGGACCAAAGACACGGACGATCACTTTCGCAAATCTACGCACAGACTCAATTGTGCTATCTTCACCAATGCGAAGTTACTCATCGGCATAGTCATCCGGAACGCCATATGCAATCACCCGCATAGCTACGGAGATTTTTTGATATGCACTAAATCCCTTTAAGCCTGTGGCATTCCTTCTTTGAGTAAAATACTAGCAATTTGCCTCGCAAGCTTCAACAAGTTTCACAAAGAGGGATCGGCGCATTCGATACCTTCTGCGGAAGAGGTGTGCAGGATATGTAGGATTCTCCGCAAAGTAATCTTGCATCAACCTCTCGTTCCCAAGATGGTGATTCCGAGGAATGCACAGACGCCCGACAGTAGATCCTCGCCTCCTCTTCCGGTACTCGTCTTCATGATCCTTCACGGCAAGCGCCATGACTAATGTTTGCTGCCGAAAGGTCACAAGCATGGTCTCCACATCCGAGTCGTTCGAATCGGACGAATCAGACAGCAAGAACTTCTCGCACGGGGTCAACTCCATCTACACGCACACCGGCGCGTCAATCTACTACACAGCTCGCAAAAATCACAAAAAAGGGACTAGCCGGTGGCGAGTGATCCCGGGCGGCGACAAGGGGGGTGCGCTCGGCGGTGGTCGATCCCCAGCTGCGGCGGCGACGG